TATTTGTGCAAGTAAAAAAGTCATTACACATTGATCAAATGATTTGGCAAAAAAGTAAGAAACTAATCATTTTCAAATTTTCCTCACAATTACTTTGGGTCTGATGATGTCATGATTCTAAAATCCTTTCAAAAGTCATTTGCATATTTGCTGAGAATATCTAAGGGCAATTGGTAGAACTTTGACGAATGGTCTTAAAAAAAAATCCAACTATCTTCTATGTACTGCTAGAGGGTGCCCTTTCGGGTGATGATGTCATTATGCTTCTTTTTTTTGTTTGTCATTCCACACTAAACACTTCCATAATTTGTTTGTCTATAGTAAAATGCTTCCATCTGCAAGTTATATTCAATTTTCATTGCACTTCCTGTAACACTGGTAATAAAGGTTAAACAGCTTTGTGCCCGCGAATCCAAAATATTGCCCGAGGCAATGTCTTAACTGATCACAAAGAATAAGAATGGTACTCTATTGAAAAAGTTATAGTTCAAAGTAATTGGGTAGTCGGGCACAACCCGACCACTGTTTAGAATTGCTCTGATAAATCTATCCTTTCTTTTTTCTTTTTGTTTTCCAGTCAATACTTTTCTGCAGGCTTTCTCCTAAACGGTTTATGATATGAACTTGTAACTTTCAACATACATGTATATCGACCCTCATCCTGAGCGATGCATATTACTCCGACGTCATGATAACGTCATCAGGTGTCAAATTACAAGTGATTTTAGTTGGGGGAAAAAAATGACCAACTTCTTTCACCTATAACTTTTGATTGTAATAATCAATGATGTTTGTATTTTACAATCAGATTAATTGATAATCATTTTTTATTGCTTATGTGCATGAAGTTGCTTGAATTAGTTGAATGGAAGCTATGGCCTTCTTTTAAAGTCTGTCAAGGATCCCCAGTTTTGATTTTGCATCATCATCATTGGGCGGCTGCAGCCGAGACGGATAAAACCAAACTCCTCCAGACTCTCTTGTCCGCCATGGCAATGGTGATGTCATCAACGTGCTGGCTCACATCATTGCATACAGTGTCAACGTAATTGAGGGGTCTCCTCCCTCAGTTGGGGCAAGGCAATCTCCAGCAGATGAGGTCAGAGACAACTTGGCTCTATAGCAGTGGCCGACAAGGCCGGCTCTGCATTGTACTTCTGTAGTTGAGATAGGTGGCATGCTGCCATATATTTCCCTTTTCGAATTTGCTACTGTTCCCCAAATTGGACTGCAATATTCTAAATTTTTGGTCTGATGAATGACTTTGCTTTCCGCATCATGCCTAGTTTTCTACTGAAGGCTATACTAGGGCCAAGTTACAAATATGTTGTGTCAAGGAAAGCTTTGCATCTAAACTGATCCCCAAGAACTTTGACTAAGTCTACACTCTGTGTAATAGTCTGAGTATCACGCATTATCCACGGAGCCAAGTCTCCTGTATAACTTCTGATATGTCTAAACATGCAGATATATGCAAGCCGTGCACCAGCCAATCAGTGTCGACTTTACTTAATTGTGATGTCATTTCATTCCCAATTCAGGACTGATTGGTCAATTCGAATGCACTGTTTTGTTATACAACTGCCGGGCGCATATCGCTTAACATGATAAAGAGCGAGTGCACGTATGTTTCAGCCCCATAGACCGTGCTTGCATTTAGTTTGTCTTCTCACGCATGCACAATGGCTTCCTCCGTGTTGTCGCCCTGCAAACAGCGGTGCAGACGACACACTGGATTTTCTGGTTTTTATGTCTTAAAATGTTTCCTTCTAAAACGTACTTGAAAGATGATTCAAACCAAAACTTATCATTAGTCCATGTGAACAAAGTTATAAATTGTCTCTACAGTGTAGAAATGGCGCTAAAAAATATTTCAAATATTAAATAATTATGTTTTTATGGACAAAACCTTACGAACTAAAACGGAAAAACATCCTTTGCTTTTTGAATTTGGCGTACACATTTGGAAAATTTGCCCAGTTTACCTCCGATCAGCCATAGTACCATCGGAAAGGATGATAGATTATCTTCATTTCACAGGTGATTTGATGTAAGAAGCAACCATGCAGCTTATAAAATGTCATTATTTTTCGAGTAAACCCCTTTTGATAGCATCGTGCACAAATAGACTGGTCTCCATGCCCTCTATGACTGCACTTTACTGCATTTACCAGTCAGTTGTTAATCGTTTCAGCTATACATGTATACATTTTCAACACGTCGAAAGTACAGTAATAAGGCGTGGCGTGGCTAGCCATGTGATCGAGGGTATATGTACAGTGTATGTACAATAACATTACATTCAATGTAAAAACATATAACATGAAACCTTACTTTTCTCATTCAAATAGTTTCCGACTTAAATGATATTCATGCATCGCACTTTCCATGGCATCCTTTATCATTTGTCAGTGACAACAAGTATACAGTAACTCGGCAAAACTGAAAAATTATCCCCTAAACTGTCGCCTGTTTCTAATTTGTGACCTTCATACTTTTATACTACATGACACAGACAGACAAACAAATTTGGCAGCAAATTACTCTCTCTTTGTTTACGCAAAGGTTTTCAAAAGTGAATTTGGGGCCTTACACTCCTGTCCGCATGGAAAAAAAAGATTAATCAAAGTAATTCGATCGTGATGTTGACCAATACTTCAGTGCGTCAAACTGCAATTGTAGGCATCCATGTTTGCTAATTATCGGTACTTCATACGTTGATGCACAGATTTTTTTATTCCATGTCAATGACGCGCAAAGGGTGAATGACTGAAGACCTGATATAGAAAGCGCCCGCTGATTGGTAAAAATATTGAGGTCAAGAAGTGGTTGTCTTGCATAATTAATCAGCGAATCTGTTCAAATGTAATAGACTACGGCTTTCGCCATGGTCTATTACATCTAGACCAACTGTGTAGTACGTTGCTCCCCAAGAAAATTTAATTGAGGATGGTGTGGGTCTGCAAATCTTGATCGTGAAATGACTAGACTGATGCATTTAATTTAAGTTTACAGTTCTCTGCCCATGATGCCAGTTTGTTCAAATCACGTTGAAGTGACGCTGCAAAGTGTCTTCTCTGCCGTGGGGATGTAATTGTGGAGAATAGTGTACTGCACAGCTAATCATAGGGTTTTCAAGGTTTTCAGCGATGTCACTGGTGAAGATGAGAAAAAGAGTAGGACCCAGCAGACTTCCGGGAGGTACTCCAGACGAAATCCGATGCCTTTCACTGTTTCATTGGTTGAACGTCCACAATTCCCACATACAAAGGTATGCGCAATACTCCCAGTGAGTCAGTATTTCATAGTCCTAAATTCACAACGCACTCACCACAGCTGCATCTGCACGTCATCGCGCAGTACACACGACATGCATGCCAATCTCCATAAAGGGAGATGTTTACTACGTCTTACTTGCAAGCTAGACACTCCATTATATAGCTAGAGGGGTGTTTCGAAAAACATGAAGTAAAATTGTTTCACAAAATATTTGGAAAACTTTCTTTTTTGGACCAAAAAGTTTTGATTTTTTAACTGAAAAGGTATTCATAAATGGGATTTAATATGTGTTTGGTCGATATTACGTTTAAGACTGGTTGGAGTCTGGAATGCTGATAATTACCCTCGGCAAATATCAGCATTTCAGACTCCAACCAGTCTTAAACATAGTGTTTAACACCTCCAAAACACACATTTATTCTTGTATTGCATGTCTATGCTTAATAATTCATTGTTTAAACCATTCGTCAAAATTTCACTAAGTTGCCCACAGATATTCTTTGGAAATCCCTCAAACAACTTTGCAAGGTTTCAGGATTGTGACGTCATCGAACCGGAAGTTATAAAAGGGAGAATTTAACACTAACAAACATTCATTTTTTTTTTTTTATAAATCAAATTCATAATTAAATCTGTATCCAGTGGCGATGCTCATTGCACAAATAATGATATCCGGTACAATGTTGACTATGGGATTCCTCATGCTGTGAAGTCATCAAACAAAAAGCTGGGTATTCTAAGTATAGAATTATTTGTACATTTATTTTACGATATGTTTGCACATTCTTAACTTATGACTTCACCTAACCGGAAGCAACGTGTACAAGTAAATACAATTTAAATCATAATTTATCTGAAATTTAATCAAATGCAAAGGGAATTTTTTTTTTTTTCAAAATTTTAACAAATGGTTCCACAAGAAAAGGCTTGATTTTTTTTCCATTTTTTTTTCTATTTAGACATAAACATATTCACAACTTAATTGGGCAATGTAAAGTGAAATAGTTGTCTGCCCGATCACCCTGCGTTTGTAACTGAACGAAGAGAATCTTTATTTTTAATTTATTTTTATTGGATCCGTACTACAATACGAAAATTGTTACGATTTCAACACCAAGTTCGAATTGAGGTAAAGTACTATTATTCAATTAAAATTAGTCTAAAGCTGCGATAAAATGGGTGCTTGCAATACCAGGTCATGCCATTTTCATCACATTTGTTTAATTTTAGAACAAAAATCAGATTGTGAAGGGGAAAACTTTTTCACATTTTTTTTCTATAAGTATTTATGGCCAAATTTGAATCAAACCTTTGTTCAAACAAATTTCCAAACCTTGCCAAAACAAACATGAACCCAAACCCAAAGCCTTTAAAAGCAAATACAAATTCCTTAACAATATCTTAACAAGTTTTTTTTTTAAATCAAGTAATCATAATAATTTGTTTATTTCCAAAAATCATTTTATTTTAACTTCAGATGTAAATTAACTTGATATTTATCACGCCCTAAAACACAATTGCAGAAACACAAACAGGCCCTGCCAAAAAGGAGAGAGGTATCAGGGTGATGTAAGGAAAACAAAATGTACGTGTAGGGAGGCTCTTTGCACTGTAACAGTCATGCAAAGATTATTGTATAATGGCATTTTTAAAAACAAAATGAAGGTGTGGAGATCAGATGCATCTTTATGCAAATCTATATTAAAATGTTAATGGCTTACCTCTGTTTTTGCACTTGGCTCCATCAATGTTCTGTGGTGATGTCTGTTTTGAGGTGAACTGCGGTACAAGTGAGGTACTTAAAGTTGGCAAATGGTTAGCATGTGTGGCGTCAACATGATGACAAGCTGAGCTAGAGTATGTATCATCATCAGAGGAGAGCTGAGACTGCGCTATTGACAGTACTTGTGATGAACGAGGAATACTCTCCAACTTGAAAGCTGACAAGAAAAAAAACACAAAACAAAGTTGAAATCATCAATTGTTGAGGAATTTATATAGGATTGGTAATATTTTGATAAACATGTACATGTACTTGATAAATTTATTTCAATGTGACATGAACAGTATTATATTTTTGGGCAGTGCACAACCCTTTAGAAAAGGCTGTTAATTTTGGTTGCTTTTATGCACAGGAATCACTCTACCCTGCAAGAACTGAATCACTTTCCAGCTGCAATAATTATTCCAAAAGTAAATGTAAGCCATTTTTTATGCAATGTCTCATTCAAAAGAGAGTTACTTTTGTATTGTTAAAAAAATAACAATTGCCAATAATTGGGTGTGTGTGTGTTTTTTTTTTGGGGGGGGGGTGCATCTTGAAAATAGCACTGACAGTATATCTTAAAGTTCCAAGCACTCAGTGGTGCACCCAGGATTTGGCTTGGGAGGGGGGGCGCTCGCATGTTTTTTTTTTCCCAATTTTTTTGGGGGAGGGACTATTTTGACGTGGGTGGCGCCATTTACACCCCCATTATACTACTCGAAAATAGGCCACATACATATCACAACATGTAGCCACATACATATCACAACATGTCAAATTGTGGGACAAAAAAAAGTGACCCAAAAGAAATTGACAACCTCTTGGGGGATTTTTTGTCCCTCAAAAAGTCTTTTGAGTCCCCGGCAGGTTGCAGGGGTCTCAGAATATTTTCCTTCTGGTGCCTTTTTCCAATCATCAAAGTAAGTTGTAGGCTTGTGAATGACTCTTACGGAATAACCAGCATTTTTGGACAGCAAAAATCTAGACTAACACCCTCCACAATATTTCATACATTCCATTTTATTAGTGCCAACAGCTATAACCCAAAACCAAAAAGCCCCCTTTTCAAAAACACAGCTTTATTGCTTGCAAGTGGTATTCAAAGTTTAAAGTCTGCAAAAACGAAACAAGAACAAGTCATGTGTGTTTACAGACACAAATGCCCCGCAACCGTGACTGTTCCCACGACAAACATGACACCACTCTTTTAACATCAACTTACATGTACTTGGGTCACATGGAACGTTCATTTGACATCATTATTGTTTTCTGTAGGTTTTGTATGAATTAATCCCTAAGATCTCAATATACATGTAAATACAAGATTTCTATTGTTTTAGCCACTGTGACCTTGACCCTTGACCTTTCGGCCCCAAATGCAATAGGCTTCTTAGGATTACCAAGAACAATCCACAAACCAAATTTGAAGTTCACATGTAAAGTATTTCTCAAGTTATCGCACTGACAAGATTTCTATTGTGTTAGCCACTGTGACCTTGACCCTTGACCTTTCGGCCCCAAATGCAATGGGCTTCTTAGGATTACCAAGAACAATCCACAAACCAAATTTGAAGTTCACATGTTAAGTATTTCTTAATTTATCGCGCTGACAAGATTTCTATTGTTTTAGCCACTATGACCTTGACCCTTGACCTTTCAGTCCCAAATGGAATAGGCTTCTTAGGATTACCAAGAACAACCCACAAACCAAATTTAAAGTTCACATTTTAAGTTTAATTTCTCAAGTTATCGTGCTGCAAACGGGTGTTCACCGTCGATCGTGGACGTCCTATTGCCCCTCTTTTGTTTGAACTCTAACTTTTTAGGAAGACTCCCATAGGTTTTGTACACGACCCCAATCGCGGACGTACATGTATGCTGGGAATAGTGGACGATATTGTTCTCTTTTGTTCTCTGGTATTTTTCGTCCACAGTTTGAAAAGATGAACACATACACCCACACAACCGTGTTTTTGGGTAGTTATGGGGTACCACTATTGTCCACTTGACTTCCCTTCTTTTATTCTCCTTTGTTCCTATTGAAATCTCAAACTCCATAGCGTTTTACATATGGGGTACTGAGATTTCTAAACACCGACTTGTAGGGTACCATTGTCCCTATCGTTGCCCTTTGTTCCCGGTACCCCATAAGTCAGTATAAACACACACACACCCACGGAAGGACAAGGTGGAAACAGTACGGCCCTTCGGCTTCGCCACCGGGCACAAAAATGACATAATATTGTTTGGAAACAGCAATAAATTGGCCTCAAACCACCTGTAATTGGTTGTAATTGTGAGCCAAAATGAACCATTAATATACTTGTAAGTGGCTGTACATGTACCGGTACATGTACACCCAATATGTGGAATTGATCCCTACACTAGGGGTGAGGTTTCATTCTGTTTACAGTGGTGCAAATAACAAAAAAGTAGGAGTATCGTGTAGATAATTCAGACAGAAATGTTTGATAATTTTGTTTCGGGTGATTACTGAGGTACACTTATACCATAGTAAAATACCTAAATAAACAAAACTAGCCTCGCTTTAGTCACTTGTATCATCTTGCTGATTAGTTAGATGTTGAGCAGGTGCAAGCATTTACAACTTCTTTCAATTTTGCTTCATTAGCTGATCTCTTGCGCTTATCTTATCTTCCAATGTTAAGGTTATGGCAAACTTTTTTCAACATTTTTAGGCTGAGCCTGTGCAGTTTCCCTGATCTGAAGAGTTCACAAATATTATGTTTGACATGATTGGATGCTCTAGCCCAATTCACTCTCATCAGCCATGTGGTTGCGAAGGACTTAGCGTCTCGTTTTTGGTAGACAAAGTTACATGTAATACAATTATGTACTTGGACGCTACAGACAGCGGTGACATTCATGCACCATGCACCCCCAAAAAACATGTTCTTTTTAACGCTCTGTTTCTCAGAAAAATATGCTCACTATGATGGAAATGTTAAATTATAACAGAAGAAGAAATTCTAAATTTCATGTCAGTATAAAACTTGCTCTCATTGATGCCAAAACGTCAATACTAGCTACTAATAAAGCTGACCTTAAAGTCGTGAAGAAATCATTGGAAACGTCCCCGAATCTATGTATTTATCTCAACTTCTAGGAATCCCCCAAAGTTGTTATTTCAAGAGTAGTTGATATATCATCAAAGTATATTCCAAATTATAGCCTAATCTGTAGTTGCAAATGCTTGTGTTACACCTTGAACTATCTCCAAGGATAAGTTTGACGAGGATTTTTTGCTTACCAAACTCACGTGCATGGTTTTCATGTTGGCCGATTTTGGGGCAACAATGACAAAGCGCATATTAGCATTACTTTAGTGTGATTCGACGTGACTTTGCGTGGGTCTCGGTATAAGGGTGATATATATTTAATTACACGTATGTTTCAGCTGCTCATTTAGTTTGCGTGTATGCGCACTCAAATGTACGAAATACCAATAATTAGCAAACATGGATGCCTGCAGTCGCATAGTTTGACCCAATGAAGTATCGGTCAACATCATGCTCAAATAACTTTTTTTCTTTCTACGCGGACAGGAATTTAAGGCCCTCAAAGTCACTTAAATTGCTAACCTTTGCATAAAAAAAGAGAGTATTTGCTGCCAAATTCGTGTCTGTGCCTGTCGTGTAGAACAAAAGTATTAGGGTCACAAATTTGAAACAGGCGACAGTTTAGGGGATAATTTTTCAATTTTACCGATTTACTTTAAACTTGTCTTCACTGAGAAATGATAAAGGTTGCCACAGAAAGTGTGATGTATAACTATAATTTAAGTCGGAAACCATTTGAATGAGAAAAGTAAGGTTTGATGTTGTACACTTTTACGTTGAATGTAACGTTATTGTACATGTATACCGATATATGTACACTGTACATAGACCCTCGAACAGCCCTGTAAACATGGCTAGCCACGCCATGCTCCGTTCATACACTTTCGACGTGTTGGAAATGTATACACATAGCTGAAACGATTTACAACTGACTGGTTCCCGCCCTTGAAATGCAGTAAAGTACGATAGGACACTGGAGACCAGTCTATTTGTGCTCGATGCTTTCAAAAGGGGTTTACTTGATTTTTATAAGCTACAGGTTTGCTTCTTACATCAAATCACCTGTAAAATGAAGATAATCTATCATCCTTTTCGATGGTACTACGGCTGATCTGAGGTAAACCCGGCAAATTTTCCAAATGTGTAAACCAAACTCAAAAAGCAAACAATGTTTTTCTGTTTCATTTCGCAAGGTTTTGTCCATAAATATTTTAATATTTGAAATAGTTTTTAGCGACTATACCACACCATAGAGACAATTTATAACCTTGTTCACATGGACTACTGATAATTTTTGGTTTGAATCATCTTCCAATTAGAAGGATACATTTTAAGACATAAAAACAAGAAAATCGTTCAGTACATCGTCTGCTACCGCTGCTCGCAGGCCGACAACGCAGAGGAAGTCATTATGCATGAGCAGACAAACTAAATGCAAGCACGGTCTATGGGGCTGAAACATACATGTAGGTGATTAATGACTCGTGAAGGAGGCGATACTGCAAATTTTTACTGCACACCATAATGGATAGGAACCTTATTAATATTTGTGAGGGTTGAAAATATTGACAGATATTGCAAACAACCCCAAATCTGAAGGGATTTGGTAGTCCACGAGGGGCCGATACTTACCTACTAATTCCTACATATGCATTATTCCTTATAGGCCGCAGGCCATACCCGCTAGATTTTACATCTACCACAGCACCCTCTGGGCCAATACCCGATACCCATGATGCCAAGCGGCATATCGTCCTCTTTTCTGAAAGCGTAAAAACAAGAAATCCCTCGCCCAACATAGGGTAGGAAGGAGGGAGAATAAGCAGGTAAGTATCGGCCCCTCTTGGACTACCAAATCCCTTCAGATTTGGGGTAGTCCACTTCGGGCCCTCTCTTACCTGCTAATTCCTACATATGCATAGATTAGCACTGAAAGGAGGAGGGTATAGGCGAGATTTTCATAGGAACCTCAAAATAGCAGTGAAAAAACACCGAAAGTATCGGCCCACCGCGCACACCATTAGAAACCTGTACATGTAAACTGATATGCGAATACAATGTAAGTGACATGGTAACTCACCGAAAAAGAAGGGGG